TCTACCAAACACCAGGTGTATTTTGTGACATGAGGCCTGTTTGGTTTCTAAAATAAAGACACTTAAATTTAACTACTATATAAATCATAAACAGGAAGTTAAGAAGGGGTTACAACAGGGGGAAGAAAAACAGAGACTCGCATCAGAACACAGACGCTTTAAGCGTAAAGCAAAAAAAATAAGCACATGATGTAGAAGATGATTCTTCTTCATGGTCCTACGAGACCGATGAAATGCCTACTACTAAATCATGGTTCACGGTGTGGTTCAAGGGACCGAGGCTTCATGTCTCTATGTACACTCAGGAAAATACTCCCAAGACTCGGGTAGAACATACATATATGTCCAAAAGTTCCCTACACTGTGCGATCATTGGTACATCCGTTCTGACTTCCGGGGCAGTGTCGGAGTCGCGTGGCAATGTGGAAATAAACGAAACTGGAAGCTTTGAAAGCTTTCATTTTATTTAACATAGGCCTGGAAAACTTTTTTCGGGTTTCTGATCGCTGGCATTTAAACCAAATTACCTGAAATTTGGTATAAGGGTGACTCGTTTTTACTTACACAGACATTTATTTGACCACAGAACGTCATTTGCGCTTTTCGCATATACCACTATTAAAATGGTAGAATTTTGGACTTCTTGGCAATTTTCTGATCAAAAATATGTATTTTGGGCTTCTGTGCCCTAGCGCTTGCCTTTATTCATGCTTTTATTGTGTGTCCTAAATATATTAATGTACGCAATGCGCTATACACTAGACTATCAGATTCTTTCCCAGCATTCACCACAATGAACTTGGAAAGAAAATTTAAATACATATTGACTTGTGACAACCCCTACATGCTATACATAAGAACATATAGTATTCCTTCAACGATTGTATAAGTTGATACCTATCTCATACTAGCCACCCACTTTTGTATTAGATTAGCTTTATGAAAATGTAGTTGACATGTACTTGCTTAAGTTAGTAGATGCCATACTTTGTACACTTTCCAATTGTTGCGCAATAAAGTTATATATTTTATCCCTGGAGACCAGACCAAAACCCCAGGCCCAAAACGTATGTTTTTTTGGTCTTATTCCCTGAAATTTGGTATGGAGATGTATAGGGAATATACAGACAGGACATTTGGTATGCCCGCCCTTAAACATTCCCACAGAACTTTATTCATGCTATATTGGCAGACCCTGTGTACTTTAAATGATGTATTTTGGGGAAGAGGTTGGGAAGAAAAGTCCATTTTGCACGGGGGTGTTTATGGAAGAGTCCATTGTTGCAGGGAGTAAATTCAGAATGTTCATTTTTTGGAGTGGGGTCCATCTGTAGTCATTTTTTCTTATTAGTGTGATACAAATTTCAGGACGTTATGATATAAAAGGAATGCACATGCATACTCGTGCGCCTTGCTTCTGTCTCTTCCTGACTTTACTGGCTTCCAACTGATGGCGGCGTCAAAGTACACGTAGTCTCTTCTACCATGGGAAATGGAGGTATACACCGTGTCCTGAAGACGTGGAGAAATGTTGAGATGTATCAGTAGATTCATGCCCGTAGTCAGGATTTTGAATGGGGGGGTTCTTCCCACTGCTTGAGGGGACCTCGAGCGCCGTAAGCGCCGAAGGCGCGAGGTTCCTAGGGGGGTATGGGGGCATGCTCCCCCGGAAAATTTTGAAACATGAACCTTCTAAAATGGCATTTCGTGCATTTTTGAGAGGATTTCCAAGAAAATATCAGAGATAAATTTTTATTCAATGACAAAGGGAGCAGTTTTTCTACGATTTCAGTCCATCCTTTCAAGAAAAATCTTGGACCTTTACATAAAGAGTGGATCAAAAAGTGGACCTTTACATAAAAAGTGGACCAAAACGTGGACCTTTGAGCCTTGTAGGGGGGGGGGTTCTTCCGAACCCCCCCCTGTCTACGGGCACGAGATTCCCCGTGTTACTCATGTTCGCCACTTACAACTGTGATGCAGATGATTTTACAAACCTGTCAAATCTAAATACTTGGTAGAAAATTATACACATCATAATGATTTTGATAAACGATCCACCAATCTATTATAAACTGCCTAAGAAATGTAATAAGATAGTTTAATTTTGTAGTATTGTTGTATTACTGCCACACATTGTACCATGTACGATTGTCAAGCAATAAAGTTCATTCATTCATTCATGTAAAGAAGACAGCAAACCTCACTACCTAGTATTTTATAAGTTAATCAGACAGTAGCTGTATGTTCTATATTGCTTTACTTTACTTCTATGACCCTGTACATGCAATTAGCCTCCGGCATATGGTTGTGCAAATAGAGAATTATCGAAGAGATAAAAGGCAATTGCGGCTATTCCTTGCCTGGGGTGGATTAACGATTAAATATTGAGTCAACGGGTCCGCAATGTTTTAGATAAAATAGTAAAATAAAAACAGCTGTGCAATAGATTAAACCAATCACCACCTTGCTCTGTGGTGGGAGGCGGTCGCGGAAGCCACTTAGTCCTGCATGTGCCGCCGATTTCTTCATGCTGTTGACAGAATGGAAGTAAAAGGATGTTCTTTTCCCGACATCCTCTTCGAATCCCTCAGTAATGGCGGCGTTCACTCTAATGTGCCAATGACAGTGTGTTACGCCGAAAGGCGGTTATACCGGCTATACAGATACAGATACAGACAGGAGGTCACCAGTACATGCACGGCAAAATATGACACGTGGCGAATTTAATCTTGTATTGAGCTCGATCACCAGTTTCCCATCCCCAGAATGCAATGCGAAAATAGGGGGGTAACCCTCATTTGCATAGGACAGGAAGGCATCGGAATGATCCTGTTGACGTTAAACAGCTTGTTTTTCCACTGTGTTTTGAGGTGTTGGGGCATTTTATGCTCAACATTAATTGAATTACTATGGGCCGAATCTGACAACAAATAGAGAATGAAGTTTTTTGTGTTCTTTTTAACGTGGAACATGGCTGTAACGTTACAGCATCAGTATAGCGTTACCACTATAACGTTACAAACCACATATTCCAAAAAAGTCATTCTCTATTTGTTTTCAGATTCAACCCATAGTATTTAATTGTTGAGCATAAAATGCCCCAACTCCTCAAAACACATTGAAAAGCAAGCTGTTTAACGTCAACAGGATCATTCCGATGCCTTCAAGTCCTATGCAAATGAGGGTTACCCCCCTATTTTCGCATTGCATTCTGGGGATGGGAAACTGGTGAATGTATGTAAATGTTTGTATATGTACAGTCGCGTATCAAATACAAACATGAGAAAAACATAATTTTTTTTATTCCAACATGTAATCACCAGACGTGGTGACGGCACACTCAAGTTTTTTCAACTTATATTAATGCCGCCACCAACACAGGGGACAAATACATGACAGGACAATACTCATTTTCACCTGAGCGAAGTTAGGAAAGTCGTGTAAAGTGCCTTTTCCAAGGGCACAAGATCGGTGGCATGTAAGGACTCGAACCCGGGACCTCTAGGTTCCGAGTCGCGCACTCTGCCGCTAC